ATTACTGTAACTGCTAATACTGCAGTTTTGAACTTTGGGCATGTTCAAATAAGACAAAATCAATGCTGTGAGAGACTTAAGTTGACTTTTTTTCACCAAGCCTTTTGAACTGAGACAGTAATACACACACACAAAAAACACACTGATGCACAGTCGTCTTAGAAAACGTGTAGTTTCGCCGAGAACGTGCTGCAAGCAGTTTTTACCAAAGACTCAATTAGAGTGCAAGAAAGACAAAGAGTCTATTGTGAAAGTAAACGGGTTCTGAGCCAGTAAACAGAGTAATCACCAGACAGCCACGCAGCACAAGTAAAAGAGGGGTCTCTGACTATTACAAGTGATTATCTTGTATTGCACAACATGTGTTTTTTAGAGTACCAAAGCATTTTTCATCTTTCTGTTGAGATGGCGAGTGCAGTTCATCAAAACATGCAAAAAAAAAAAAATAGAAACCCAAACAGAGGAAAATGTTCTCCTTTTTTTTTAGCATTTTAACTATTAATGTAACAGAAAAGACATTTGCTTTTATACCTTTTAAGTTTTGTGGGTACAATTAGCCATGTAATCCAACCCCATTACAACCAAAAGCACAGGCATCATACTGTTACCTGTGACTGAAAACTGCTGTACTTGTTATCATTTTAAGCATGACTGACTGTTAACTACAAATGTGCTTTTTTAACTAGCTTACCATTTTTTTTATTGCCATGAACTTTTCTTTGAAAGCTTTGAAAGAATTTCCAAACAATATATTTCTAAATTTGTACTCAGTGTTTACATTCATACGAGTTACGTAACTCCTGTTTTGCTTTCGGTTTCTTTGTCAGTGCATAGTTGTCATTTAAGTAGAAGGTAAAGTTTTCTTTTGATCCTGCATAAAGTAAGAAGAGTAAAACTGTTGAATTTGCCATGTGAGGTTTGATAAAAGAAAGTGAGGATAATGTTTACACAGTCTTTTATGAACTAACTTGTCTTGTATTATACTGTAAATTGTTTTTATTATTGTGAAAATGTAAAACTGAATGTATTTTGTACATAAATATAGTTTTTCATAACAGGACTAGATTAAATAAGTGAGGTATGAATAAAAAAGTATCCACTGTCCAAATTAGGAGTGTTTATGTATTTTTTCAAAATTTAAAATATTCAATTTTGACAAGATTTCCAACACCACTCCGTACCACGACAAACCCTCCACCGTGTTTTACAGATGGCTGTAGACACTAACTGTTGTATTTATCTCCTGAACTCCTCTTTACATACTGACAATGACTTGAATCAGAAATTTTAAATCTGGAACAGAACTGTTGAGTGATTTTCAGTCCAGTTCTTGAGTAATGTGGCATATTTCAGCATTTCCTTCCTGTTTCCCTTCCGTAAGAACTACTTCTTGACAGCCGTCCTTCCACTGAGATGATGTCTGATGAGGCTTCAGCGAACAGTAGACAATCAGCTGAAGGGCAGATCCACCTCTGAGGGTCTGTGTCAGGACTTTGCTGGATTTATTTCTATTTTTGTAAGTACATGGATTTCAGATACTGTTCACCTGCTATAGATAGTTTTTCTTAGATCTGCCACTTCCCCTTTAGTGTTCCACTTCTTCAGTTTCCTCAAACTTTTATGTACACACTGCACAACGTGCTGAGATGTGCCAAAGTTAACAGCTGTTTGGGAATCTCTTTAAATCTGGTCACTGTTGGCATTGTTCACATTTTCAGCTAAAGAAATGGGAACAAATTAAATGTTTTTGTAACAAAGTTATTGAGGATACTGTTTAAATTTGGTTCTTTGCTATGTTGTTTGAATGAAACTCAAAGCCGTTTTTTTTTTAACTTATCTGGTGCAAAATCACAACAAAAGTTGCATCAAGGCATTTTATAGTGTAAGGTACACACACTGGTTCATCCCTTGAGTTAGGTGTCTTTTTATGCTTTTTAGGTCAGTGTGAAGCAGCTTGAAAAATATTCCTCTGAAAAGTGTGAGGTACAAGGAAAAAACAACAATTAAAATTTTAAAAGGCTTCACAAAGCCCGGAGAAGTATCGCTCAAGATCACTTAAAAAATTACAAGACAATCTGCCTCCTTGGAAGCAAAACATAAAGAAATAAGGAGCGGCCCAAAACCTTTGCACAGCACTCGATGTCACAACCACATTTTTGCAAATTATACTGTATTTAATCTCTTGCTGATTAAAATTGATTCAGTGATGTCTGTGACTGTGGGGAAATTGCCTGCAGACTTTCTGCAGCTCACATATGCTTACAGTTTACTGCTGCACATCCTGCTTGGACCCAGTTTCTTCCCGCAGCTACAACCTCCGTGTAACTGTGACCTGTTACAGAATCACCTTCCACATTCACTCACATACATTTCACCGAGTCTTCACTCACTTTTCTCGCCCTGCCATGTATTAACCTTACAGTCCAAGGAAGAGCCAAAACGGACACGCAGCTTTGATAGATAGACGACAGATTCCAAGCCTCTCTGCTAACTTAAGGTTTTACTCAGAGATTGAAAGAACCCTTGGCTCTAAACCCCTGTGGGGCCAAACGGTGAGTGCGTGTGAGACTGCTGTAGCTATAAAACCTTCACCCAGTATCCTGCTGTTGGTTTCCTGTAACTAGGAATCACACACACATGCTTATTAAGCACGGAACTCACTATTCTCCTATAAGACCGAAACTCAACACGCACCACCAAGGACAAGACGAAGGAGAAGAAGAAAATATCGCATGTGGCAACAGACGCACACGCATGTTAGGTTTCAGAACAAAGGTTCGCAGGCTTCTGGCTTGTTAAAGACGTCACCATGAGGTTTAAATGGTTACAGTACAGCACATTTAGAAGGTGCTCAAACTTGGAAACCGTCATGGTTACATTAAAAAGTGCAGAATGAAAGATAAATGTGAACTTGCTACAAATTTTTTAAAAAGCCTTCGAGCAGGACTTGCTCACTTTCATCTGGTTTCTCATTCCAGATTCAATATCAGTCGGTCGATCCCTGTCGAGCTGGATTACAGCCACCGGACTACTTAAGTGTACAGAACTTTCAAACTATCGCGTTTTCTGTCTCTTTTATTTCCCTTTTCTCTGCTTCTTTCTGAGCCCACAAGAAGGCTAGGTATTCGTGTGCACTTTCATGTCCAGTAGTCTAGTAAAAGGTGATGACTTTGAGGGTGTCGTGTATCTAGTGGAAAGAAATGTTAGAGCTATATTTTTAAAACAGCCGTTACATACATGCATCTCTGGAGGAGCCGGCAATCAGGAACTCGATACGTGCGGAGACTACAGAGTGCAAATGTTGAAGTGAAAAAGCATTACAGTGACACTGAGGTATTATTATTACCTTCCCTAATTTATCAGATTCATAAGTCTGACTGTGATGTAAAACTCTGCGAGGGCCAACGACTCAAACAGCCAGAATCCTGGGATGATATGTAGAAAAATCCAAATGTGAGTAAACCACACTTTAGTGCAATAGTACATTGGGCATATTGTTTGTAGCATGAATCCTTGTATTTTTCACTATTTTCAATTGCGTAACAGTGCACGTCTGTATTTGCAAGTTGTTGCTTTTATTCCATTCCTTTGTGCTTTGGCTGATTGAATGTGGTGAAAGCATTTTGTAGGGAAAAGTTGTTTATTTAGTCATCATTTAGCAGCAGTTACTTCAACCTTAAGTCTTTTTGGCAGCTTCTCTTTTCTTCCCCCTCGTATTTCATGTATCCAAATGAAAATAAAAAGACATCCCTTTTTTTCCTCTTTTTGTTAAGAAACCAGTAACACATTTATGGACTATGGGTGCTAATTGTCTTGCATCTATAATCAAAGCCCAAGTCTGGCAAAAACTCACCTGGAAAACCAGACAGTGAGGAGATAATCTGTTTCATGTGCCGAGCTGCTGGCAGAACAGTGGGAGCATCGAGCACCACTTTGGTGGGCATCCCACTGTGGTACAGTGTGAGGTAATTAGTGTGTGTGTCTGCACATGAGGTTATAGGTTCAACATGTTCCCAGAGGCACTGACTGATTCACATAAAAAAACATAACAGCACATCCAAATACATATACTCAGGCCCTCCCTGTATTATCCTATGATCATGTGTGCGTGTGAGGGAGCATGTGTGCCTCAGGGTAAACAGATCTCCATTAAGCAGGGCTGACTATGGACCCTGGACCTTTAGGGACCTCACTAATGAGCAACATGTATGTTAAAAAGGGGTTAAAATGGCTTCAAAAAAACATAGTGGGCGTAGCCTTCTGTAACCACTGACTGGAGGTCAGCTCAGTTACCCTCTCTGACCTGAGCTGTTAAGTAGGGAAGTTGAAGAAAACAGTAATGAGATCAGTGCCTGAGGACAATGTCACCTTATACTCCTCCCCAGTCCTCCCTTCCCTCACATTAGTTCTGCCTCCAGAGCATGTAGGTATTATCGGGCCTTCAGGAGAGATATTTAAAAAGAATGACATGAAAGCGATTAATAGGCAAAAACAACCACCCTGCATTAGATGTCTTGATCAAAAAAGAGAGAAAGTAGAAGCATTTACAAAGACTTTCTGTAGCATCCACAGGGGCTACGGCAAGAAACACTGTGCAAACAAAAAAGGTAGCAGTTCTCCTTCCTCCAAACTAATTCTTATACATCAAAGCTCCACGAGGGACACAATGACGTATGTGACATGCATTGTATGACCACATTGGTTAGCTACAACTGCAGATTACAATAATAATTCCATTTTCCACTCCAGTAAAAACAGCTGATCCTATTGTTTCAGATCTACTAGGATCCCTCGTGGTACAAACGTGCTGTTCCTACAAGCCAAGACAACAACTACATTAAAAGACATTAAGTCCTGTAACACCCCTGTTACAATTTCAGTTCTTCTCCAAAGCTCTTACAGTCTCAGACCACCCACACACGTACTCGTTGTAGTTTCTCTACAAAATTAAGGTAACCAGTTTCCTTTCTTGTGTGCGAGCATTTGTACGTGTATCCTACCTCCCAGCACGCTGATTGTTATGGCCTCTGTGTGTTCAGCCAGCAGATCGGCCTTGGCTATAGCGGCCAGAGAGAGGTAACTGGACATGTTCCTGCTCAGCTCCCTGTTGCCCCTCTGCAGGAACCGCACGGCCACCGGGACAGCTAGCACCATGACCGAAGGACAACTGTAGTTCTGCAGAGACATGTTATAGGAGAGGAGACACTCTGTTCAAGACGACATTCTCACAGTAAATATTTGTTTTCTAACATTTTAAGAGACATGCCAGCGACTGGTCAAAGCAGCACACGTCCACAGATAAAATGCTTTTGTTTTTGTAAAGTGAGCATGATTGGCAATCACTGTAACTTTGAACAAGGGGACACAGAGCGAGCGCATTCACAGAGAAATCAGTCTGACTTGAATTAAGCTCACTTCTTAAAAGGAAAGGGCAGCAAAGCAGGCTTAATTTTACAGTCCTGACCTTTACTTCTCATTATCTATAAAGGAGAGTAACAAGATCAGATGCCTGTCCTTTGCTGTTTCTGATCTTTCTGAACAACATGTGCATGGTGTTAACGCTCATTAGAACAGACAGTACAGCCTAAAGATCCTCATTAACAGCAAGCCACGCATCAAATATATTTAGTAACTTGAAACAAAGAGCGCCAGCAGTACTTTCCTCAACCCATGTGATAAGTGCCACAGAGATTAAAACGGGCTATAAGAATGAAGAACAGGGGGAGAGACTGCATTGTATTGAAAGACATATGCACAAGTTTGTGCTCTGAACGCTCACGGACCGCGGGATCGGGATTCAAAATGCGCCAGCACCCTCCAGAGGACAGTTTGATACGAACGTCGTGTTCACTGCCGCTCACATATATTTATTTAACACTTGTGAACCCACATCTAAAACATCTGCTTCACATTTGTTTCTATTCACACACCTAAGGCCTCTAAGTCTTTACTATATATATCTATTTTCAAGATTTATCTTTTATGTCTATCATCAAAAACTGCTCAATCAATGATTTGGGGAGTGTAGTCTCTCGCTGTCATGCCTCTGGTTTTCCACATGATGGCAGTGCAGGCACTGCAAAAACTATTTTACCCACTAATATAAACTGTGTAAACACCTTCACTTCCTTTATTATCAGGCACCAAAATATAGAAGAATCACCATGAAATGCAGTGTTGGCACTGGAGCTGAGACGTTTTAGAGCACAAACTGTTTTTAGTCTGTCTAAAGAGGGACGATCTGAACACTCAGTGTGAAGCCTGTCATGTTTGACAGCTACAGGCAGCAGGCATGAGGTGCCAGTAGTGTTCTTCTTTTGGCACATGAATTAATGTATTGATTTATTAATCTTTCCTGTCATCTTGTACTACACTTCAATGACAACGCACGTCAAAGAGCTCATATGACATGAATCGTCTCTCCTTTTCTCTGAGGGAGTTTCTGTGGGAAAATAAGACAAGTGTCTATAATTCAAAATGATAGGGAGGGAAAGAGAGAACGGAAGGGGTCAGAGATAAAGGTGGATGGAGGGCAAGAGAGGAAGGAAAGAGATGTGGAAAAATGACATGAAGAGAAACAGATTTTTAGAGATAAAGAAAAAGAGAAAAGGAATGGCTGTCCTGATAAGTGCAGGAGCTCGGACATCGGAGCCAGAAGGCGCCGTCAGAGCTGTCAGAACTTTTAACCTCACTTTTGTGTGTGTGTGTGTGTGTGGGTGTGTGTGTGTGTGTGTGTGTCTTTCCTGAGGAGTCAGTCTCATTATGGTGGTATTAACCACATTCCCTTTCCCAAGAAAAAAGTGGGAGGGAGAGAAAGAAGGTGGAGGGGAGTCACTCTGCTTTTATACCTTTCAGCACTGGAGGTCTGAAAATGGGGAAGGTAAGTGAGTTTTAAATGTACATTTTCATGCCTCCCCCCCCAGCAGTGATTACATAAAGTATATTTGCTCTGAAAGGGAAACTTCCCTGCTGGAGATCATGTATTATTAATTTTTATTTTAACTCTTCTGCTTGTACCATTTTGTGAGGGTTTTCTTCCGCTTGTGCACCAACGTTGCCTTCCTTCACTTGTTTTCCCCGCGAAGCCTTTACACCCTCGTGTTTACCACCAATGCTTTAAAGAGCTTTAGCATAGCATTGCTCACGTGCATTAAAAAAAAACATGCAACCAGCCCCAAAACTATAACCTGTCAAAGGTCACATGACAAAGAGGAAGACGAAAGAAGTGCTTTTTTCTGTTTTCTTTACATTTTTCTACTCAAATTTGATTATGCCCGTTTTCTGATGAGCTTGACAGTTTTACTTCTTAGAGAAGAAAACTATTACCAAACCCTTAATACAACAGCTATTGATGAAGTTTAATGTAGTGCAAATCAATGCATCAGTAAAATATGTTATAGCCAAGTGCTCCCAATGGCCTTTTTCCATTCTGTACAAGCTATAGGTGTGTGGCTGAGATGAAAGGGAATGTTTGAGTACTTTGCAAAAGTCTGAGCCCACTCCTCATTTTTTTACGTTTTGTTAGGAAAATGGAAAATATGTGCAATGAATTATTAAAACTCGTACAAATATATATGGAAATCCAGTATACAAGCCAAAAACAGAGTTTGAGCAATTTTAAAGATGAGTGAATATTTGCAGCGACCACCTTTATTATTCAACACAGCCTGAACTCTCTTTGGCAGCTCTCTTGTCATTTTTTTAAGTAGTCTTCAGGAAAAGTTCTCCAGATTTCTTCAAGGAGACTTAAAGCTCTTCTAAGGATGTTTTCCTGATGGTATTAAATGGTGAATCAAAATCTGACGGCACTTTTCTGCGTTCGTCAATTTTGACAAGATCTCTGACACCACTGGTTGAAATGCAGCTGCAAACCAAGACACAGCCTCCACGGTGTTTTGCTGATGCTTGGAGACGCTCACTGTTGTATCTCTCTCCTGACCTCCTCTGCACATACTGACAATGATTTGAATCAGAAATTTGAGATTTGGATTAATCCCTCAATCAGACCTGTTGCCACTGATTTTCAGTCCAGTTGTTGTATAATCCAAAGAAAACTTTTGAAAGACTTTCAGAAACACTAAAAAACTATCGCTCAAGACCACTGACAACAAAGTCTGGCCCCTCAGAAAGAAAATTTAAAAAAAGAGGGATGGCTTGGGACTTTTGCACCGTACTGTAAATTTTAAGTTTCATCCCATGAGCACTAAAAGTATCTTGAAGCTAAATACCCTAAGCACACATAATATCCTGAGAGGTTTCTGAGTATGTGTGTCCTTTATGTGCTTCAGGTAAAACAAACAATGATGTGTGCATGCGAGCGTGTGTGTATACCTGCAGGATACAGCTGGTGATGTCAGACGCTATCTTAGCATGCGGAGTGTCCTCTGTGTTTTCACCTTGCGGGGTGAGGTTATGCTCCAAACAGGACTCCCACAGTCCCACCAGAGCCGTGCTGTGTCGCTCGATGGAGCCCGTCTCCCTTATGGCTGTGGTGATGCGTGTTATGCAAATCTCCACCACTGCCTGGTCATTGTCATTGGTCAAATAGTCCTGTCAGCCAGCAACAGGATGCAAAATTAGGAATACAATGATAAAGTAAGGACAAAAGCAATGAATTATGCATAAGGGCATAAATAATTAATGGCATCTGCTTTGTAATTTTTGAATAAATACCAACTGTGTGTGTTGGTTGCACTGATCTAAACACATCAACTTACCGGTGAGCAGGAGATTGCCTTAATCTGGTCCAGAGCTTGAGACAGACAGTCTTCAATGTCTGCGTCCTCCAGAGAGAACAGATCACCTGCTCTGGACAGATCCCTCTGGCCGAGCACTTGGCTAAACAGCTGGTGCATCCTTGTCCTGGTTTAGGACCTTGAGACGAGCCTGGGACGGCCTCCGCACAGTTTAAGATCACTTAACTGAGAAAGTCGCTGACATAATGTCTTGAATACCATAGCAACTTTTCCTTCACCTCCTGGTTTTAGAAAGATATTTAAATAGAAGACTCTTTTCTGCCAGGGATGGGAGAAAGCAAGTCTTTCTAAAATGCAATAAAGCTGAAATATATGAAGATTTTCAGGCACACACTTTTATACAGAAAGAAATATCGAATGCATCATATTAGGACTTGATAGTTTTATAATTTTTGTTAAAATCCTCTCCGGCGCAGTCCAGAATCAGGTAAGTTTGACGGGTTTGGCCCAACATTTTTCTGGGTCTGCCTGAGGCCTGTTACCATGGAGACAGGGCAGTCCTTCTGCAGCTGAGTCCTGAAGGAGAAAGGACAAAAAAAGAGAGAGTGAAGGATTAAATTAACTAAAGAGAAGGAAATGCTGGGATCGTCATTTTGCACACAAAATCGTCTTCCAGGAAGAGATCATTTGAAAAGCTGGGAAAATTAATTCGGTGCAAGTCAGAGATACTGTCGAGCATCGGATATTTAATTTTGCATGTGATTTTTGCTCTCCAAAACATCTCAACTAAAGGAGTAGTCGTGCATAAGAAACAAAATTTCATTGCAAGACATAGACATGAAGATTGATACAACTCTTATCTGTTAAAAATACTGCTTATTTTAGCTTAGTCTAAATCCTGGAAACAAAAAGGTTCAGATGAATTTCACATTCTGTTTGTCGTACCGATTAAACAAATAAGATGTGCATTAGTTAGCTGCAGGTTAATTGTGTTTTCTTTTAAAAGGACCTAATAGTCCAACCAGTTGAATCCTGTTCCTAACCATTTTATTACAGTTAAAGCGCAGGATTCCCAGTGTAGAGGGTTCAGTTGGGGGCAGTGGGCGTAGTCCTTTAACTAGCTTGTGTATTTATGGCCCCAAGTCCCATAACAACACAACGGTGCAGTAAAAATGTCCATACAGCTGTGACAGAGCTTTGAACCTCAAAATGGCCACTGTGCTAGAGATGCAACTGTGTGTGAAAGCTCACCTGTGTGAGATGTAGAAAACTACAGACTGAAATTCACCATTCTGCCTGTCTCTGGTAAATGGACTGGTTCTTATATAGTGCACTTCTACTCTACAACATGCCTCTCATTTGGAGAAAAGTTGCTGGGGCAGCATGTGAATGTGGGACTGAAGGTAAAAGCATGTGCTCCACTCCAGAGACCTGTGTGTTGGCATCGCTAAGTTATAGTAAATAAATAATCTTACATCTAAATCTTAGTCAGACAGCATTTAATCATATCGCACATATTTAGAAAATGATAGCAGGGAGCATAGCACAAAAGTTAAAAGGGAGTCCCTGGCCCGCTGCCCAAATCAGAGTCTAACCACAAGTTCTCAGTTAAAGCCCGTTATTTATTAATGCATACCAATATCTGAGAGCAAATTACTCCAGGGTGAACCAAGGCCAGAACAACAAACACAAACACACACACTTCCACTTTTTTCCCATCACAGTCTGACTAAAACCGAAATAAGGAATAACTAAAATACACACAAAGTCAATGTATTCAGTTTAATACACATTTGGATGCACTATATATATATATATATATATATATATATATATATATATATATATATATATATATATATATACACATAATATATATATATATACACATAATATATATATATACACATAATATATATATATATGCACACATTTCTCATTGGCAAATATTTTTCAATATATATCTTTTCCACAGTCATTTAAGTGCAATAAAGGAACTATTGTTCTACACTTGAAATTACTTGACATTTTTTTTCTTCATCTTTGTCTGTTTAAAAAAGAAACCTGACTTCACCTCTAAATGCACTTTGTTTATCTGTGTGTGTATTTATTTGACTCTGACTCTAAGCGCTATGCACTCAGACCTAGCTCATATGTACAAATGGCAAATAAAAGTTTTAATCTTTATCTATTGTATTTACATAAATGAAAACAAAACTGAATGAAAGGCACGTGGTAAGCCTAACACCCTAAAATAAGCAAAGCAGAAGAAAACTGTGCAAAAGATAAATGCAGTTCACGCCCTCTGCTTCACTGACATAAACAACATGTGGGTTAATCGTTTGCAAAGAGCTGCAAAGGTCTCTAAACAAGAAACACGCATTTTCACAGAGGTTTACCGGTCGAGGATGGAACCAGGGCTTTTAAAATGGCCAGATGTTGACCCGCAGGTACACTCAAAGATCCTCAAAGCTAGAGGCGTCACACCGGTACACAAAGAATTAAAAAAAAGAAATAACTTACTAAACTGCAAGAAATGCAATAACAGCCATAACACCGACGTCTTCCAAAAGACCAAGGGAGCGCGTCTGCCATCACATTCTCTCTGTCGTTCTTGAAAATCCTGCACAAGGAGCGACCACCTCACGAATCTGGATGGAGTATTTGGAGTAAAAAAAACAAGAGGTTTATGATCGGTGTACACAAAACATTTTTTTTGTGTAAAAACTGGGTGATCCACAGCACGCTTATCGTCCTGCAGCAACGCAGCACCAGCACCGCTGACCCCCAGCAAAATCCAGTTTAAAAGGACGAGTAAAGTCAGGATGTGTGCTGCAGAGGAGAGCTTTGGCAGACTGTATCTCTGCCCTCTTTTCAGCGGCATGAGTAAGTTAAAACATGATAATAATATGTTGCATATCTGGTGCAACTCTGTTATACTCTACACTATAGCACAAATAATGTATTATAATGATTGGTAAAGTAAATAAAGGTAATGAGTCGAACAGAATACACAGTGTCCTGGTGTTATGAATGGAGTTCAAAGTTGTGGTAACTGAAAAGTAGCATGTTAACCATTTACTTGCATTACTGTTACTCTTGTCAGCTTCAATTAAACATTAAATCATTCACACCGGAGCGACGCCGGAAGGGCAAAGGATTACATATGCACACGCACACATATACACACTCACTGAGACTGCTTCTAAAAGTGTGACATATCACTGGCTTAGCGCTCCTTATTTTCTATACAGAAATCTAAACACGTAAACGCGCTGCTGTTCTCGCCGTTGTCGCTGCTTTCTGGGCGGTTTGAAGTATTCGCGCACGCCTTCTTTCTGAAGCAGCCACCCGGCGTGTCTGCTGCCTGTGATCACGATGACTTTGCTCACAGCAGAACTCTGCCTCCTTTGAGAGGACGAGCAGCTAAACATATGTATCTGTGTCATTTTCTGCTTCCTGCACCAGCTTCCCTCTACAATCAGACATCGTCTCATCCTCGCACCGTTTCACTGAAAGCCACACTGGAGCGAGCCCAAGCCAGACCAAAAGGAACGCACAAAGCTGACCACTTGGGAGGCCGTTATCTGTCCTGCCAAGCCAGCGACGGCCATGGAAACCCAACCATTGCCAGGATACCACATCGGGAATTCTTACTGGTCCGAGCTGTGGCTTTGGGACCGAAACACCAAAACAGCCATAAACACAGAGCAAAGAGGTTTATCTGTCACACAAAGACAGGCCAACACACAGCTGTGAAGGTGAATAATCACAAGCTCTCTCTGTGCAAGGAGTTCCCAAAAATACAGTATGAGTGTGTTGTTATTTACACTGCGAACATATACTCCTGTACACTGTGTATTTCTTAACTTTTTGATAAGGATGTACTGTATGACATACACACTTTCCTGGGAGTGTGTACAGCCATTCAAAACTAATCCCACCAAGCACCAGACATCAATGGATGACATTTTCTGGGCTAAATCTGGTCAGCTAGCCAAAGCCTTTAAAAATATGCCACTTCACATATAAATTTGTTCAAAAAGTGAAAGCTGAAGAGTCCTCTTTGCAGCGTATTGGAAAGACTAATATTTAACAAATGTGCTTGTGCTATTTGTATACATGTGGCTACAAATTAGGGCATCTGAGAAAGAAGGTTTTGAGTATAACCCCCCCCCGGTTGGTTGGTTGTAGGCTTTCTGTGAGGATTTGCATGTTTTCTTTGGGCTTGTGTGAGTACTCAGGTTTCCTCCTACAGTTCAAAGACATACCAAATGTCAACATTGCTTAGAGGTCTTTTCGGTAAGTTTTTGCTCAGTGGGTTATGGTCTAATACACCAGTCATAATAAATAAATTGTAGCTTCATTTGGACTAAAATGTTTTGTGTTTTAAAGACATGATGATCATTCAGAGCTGTAGAAACTGAATTATACTGCAATATCATGTGTATCTAGCACAAACTGTATATAATAGGTGAATGTAAGCTGTGCATCTGAACAGCATTCCTGCATTCCTTTTAATGGCCAGTAGGGGATGATTATTCAGTTTGCGAATAAAAAAAACAAAACACAGTTTTAGTGAGAAAATTAAATGACTCATCACTTAAATTATGAACTCAGTTAACAATTTCTTAACTGTTTTTGTGTTTGCATTGCTAACTTGATGTTGTATTTAATACAACATCGCAGTTATTTTGTAACTAATGTCCAACGTGGAGAAAGATGTTTCATCAAACAAACTTTAATGCGTAGCTAGCGCTCACTACGGTTTGGGCATGCAGGTTCCTCAGTCAAATCTTCAATCTTTACATCTGGTTTACGGATGTTACCAGAAATGATTTCTACAGTGCCATTTGGCATCATAATTGTGGAAACACAACAGCAGGCAAGGGGGCGGCATACGGCTGTAAGTGTTGTAGTCTAGCATTAGCTCTGCTCCAACTCATCGATATGAAAGGCAGCGTCAGCTATGGAAATACTGGTGGGGTGATTGGGGGATGATAACTGACTCACAAACTATATAAAAATTATGTTATTGTGTTTTATTTAGAGTAAGAGAGAGAAAATACTACAAATTTAATAAGTTGGCTATAAGACCAGCACCCAGAATTCAATTTTCTGTTCACAGTAACAACATTCACAATGTTATCCTTCTTATGGTATTCTGAAATGCACTTTAACGTTTTGTTTGAGACAGCTGGCACTACCGGTGTGAAATCAATTTTGTTCCATGGGCTAAAATAGCTAAAATAGTGCCAACATAATGACACTGTAACGTTAGCATCCTGCTCGGCAACCATCCTAACATTTCAGTCTGTGTGTGGTCAACAAAATGTAAAGTTAACATTTTAAATAAATAATCTGCCACCCCATTGATGTGTCAGTATATGGGATGATCATTTAGGCATCAAAGTGGGAGTCAAGAATCATGTAATACTACTAGTGTTGGTACCGACTGCTAAATTTCTGGTATCCCTATCCGGTTTCAGAAAACCAAACACGGAGGTAGCCAAAATCTTGGATTCAAGTTTTTACAAATGAATGGTGGATAAGTCCAGCTTTAAAACAGAGTCAGC